TGTGACGAACCACCCAGGGCCTCAGAGAGCCGGGGCGTGTGGCGGCGGGGCGGGGCGGGGCGGGGCGGGCGCCACGGTGGCCGAGGACCCCACCCAGATGTGAAACAAGATTGGAGACACGGCGAGGTAAATCACACAGCGCCGTGCACAGCAGCGGAGCCGAGCGGAGCAGACTTTGAGGTGGACGGCGACGCCGGGGCGGGACGGTGGGACGGCCGGTCGGGGCCAAGCCATGGCGCATTCCTAGAGGGACAATAGTAAGGAGATACACCGAGAGTGATTGTCACCCCCTAGGGAGAGGCTGCAGGATGGAATGGACGCCGCCACCACGGCGGCGGCAGCAACTCCCTGGATTTTTTTCCATTTTTCCCCCTTCGGGTGCCCAACCGGGAGCCGACTCGTAAACTCGCTTCCACGTCTCATTTTCGGGGGGGAGCCCCCGGAGGCTCGGGTTACATACCTACCAGCTGATGACCACCACCTGAGTCGTGGAGCAGGACGCAGGGACAGCTTGGCCCAGGAGGAAGTACCCCGCGGCCCGGCGTGGGCGGCTCCATGTGAGGCAGGTCGTGGGCCCCGCGGCGCGGCGGTCGGGTTGGTTCGGAGGTGGGACGGGGGGAGGGGGGGAGAGACATTTCCAGGCCGGACAATTTGTCACCGGCGCTGCGGCGGCGCGGCGGCACACAAGGAGGAGCGGGGCGCGGCGGAGCGCCCTGCCCTTTCCCCGGCCAGGCGTGGCGCGGCGTGGTGGGAGGTCGCCAATACGGGCGGGGCGGCGCAGAGACAGAGCGGTCGCCAACGCCCCCGCAGCGCGCGCGGCCGCGCCCGACGCCCGCCGCCGTACGGGACTCTCCCGCTCGGGACTAAACGGGTTTCAGAGGTCTCGCAGAAATTGTCGCCAGAGGCTGTCGTTTAAAGTGGAAAAATACAGAAAGTGTGATTTGGTGCGGGAGGGGAAAAGGGTGATTTGTCGATAACTGTCCTGTAATTTTTCCACGCCACGCCTATTTTAATTTTTATCTGAAAGTTCCTGAAAGTTGAAATAATTTACGCCTGTAGAAGAATATCACAAGCAAGCAAGAGACGAGTGGATACCGAGGTGCCTACACACGTATTCTCAAGCAGTGCGAACGTTTTGCTTTCCTCAGTATCTAACTCTGTACACGAACGACGGCACTCTGTTTTGCCCACTACGGGGTCACACCATTTCCATATCGACCGCATTTCGTACAAAATTACAGCACACAGCAGCACAGACCCGGAGAGGGACGAGAAAACATGAAAAATGGAGAGTAAACGCAGAACGGGCGAATAAGTTCCACAAAGAATCGCATTTTAATCACTGGTCCCGGAAAGTGCGCGTCCAGTGTTTCCAATCACTGCGCTCCACGCCGTATGTGAGAGAGAAACTCAAAAAACACCCAACAAAAAATCACAAAAAGAGGTGTGTGTGTGTGTGTGCGCGGACGCCGGGACCAACACGCGGGGTGTGTCCGTCTTGCTCGCACCCACCCTGTATGTGTCGCACTGCACAACACACATACGGACAGAGAGAGGGAGAGAGAGACAGGGGGGGGGGGGGGGCCGCACTGCTGTGTGGTTTGTGGCAGGCTTTGTTCAGCGGCGGCATTGGGGTTGCTATTTTGTGTCGAGATTTCGCGGAATTGGCAGCCCTGGTCGCAATGAGCTGCAACAGCTTCATCAGTCCCGGGAGGTAATTTGGGCGCGGTTAGTTGGTTGTACGGGTGGGATTCGGAAGCGCCAATCCCCTGCATAAAAATGTCCACTCTCTTTCCATTTATATTTTGGTTCTCGTTTCATGTTTAACGTATTTAACGTAGCAGACAAAGTACACAACTGAGCAGGTCGAAAGTACACCCAGAGGACTATTTAGTTGATTTGACCAAATCAGGGTCGCAGGAACCAAAATTTACATCATGTAAGTTAACCAACTATACAATTTAGTACCCGCATTTTTTTCTACATTTAGTCAAGTCTATCAAAACTGTGGTAATTTGACCAAATTTTTTCAGCGCACGATTAAAATCCCGTCCACAAGGCCTAAATTTCGTCGGGTTCTCTTATTGGTGTATGCCGAAAAATGGGGCCTCTAAGAAAATTTTTATGCTTGCAAAAATGCCGAAGTTGTGGATTGCATCTAGGAAAGGACCCTAAACCTTTCCGTTTTTTTTTTGTTCTTTTTTTTTTACGCCTTGCGATCTGGCAGAACGGCCCGCTCCTGGGCCGGCTGCCGCTGGCCTTCCCCCGCCACGCCCCCCGCTGCTCTATATTCCTCTAGCCGTCAGAACTGGCAGCGCAGCGCGCCACTGCCGTCAGCTGGTTTGGTCATTATTTGCACTGAACGTATTACAAACGCTGTGCTGTGCGGATGCTGTGCGCCGCTCCGCGCCGGCCCCCCGCCATGCAGCTGTTGTGCCCAGCTCACCGGGAACTGGGTAGAGACCCTACACCCCCCATTCCCCCTCCCCACTTACCCCCTCTCTCATTGGCTTCCAGCACAGACTTATTCTGCAATGATTTTTCGCCTCTTCCGCCTGGGCTTCCATTCCATGGATGGCAAGGCGCCCACCAAACTACTTTACCTGCTTTCGGCGAACATCCACTTACCTTCTTAATTAAAGTTGCTCATTCTCAGATTGGTGCAATAATTTGTCCTGCTGTATGGTGTGAGATTTTTAGCAGATGATACGCAGTTATCGTCAGCTTGTACTCTCGTTAAGTTGTAAGTTCGCCAGTTAAAGCGTAAAGTTCGTCAGTTAAAGCGAGCAGCTTGGTTGAAACGCCGTTGAATCGTATCTGTATTGGCCCAGTGCGGGTCTCGAGCGTCCCCGTGCCGGCGTCGCAGTAGTGCTGTTCACACTGAGCAGCCCTATGGTCACCCCAAACGAAGAGCCATAAATGCTTCGGTCGCAGCTTGACGACTCATTTACGACCTCGTCCGCGCTATGCCGCGCCGCACGCCCCGCCCCCGCCCGCTCGCCGCGCCCCGCTCGCCGCACCCCGCTCGCCGCACCCCGCTCACCGCGCCATGCTCGCCGCGCCATGCTCACCACGCCACGCTCGCCGCGCTCAATGCTGCGTTCAAAGCCGCGTTCAAAGTCGCGTTCAATGCCACGCCTAGCTGCCCCTGTGCCCCGTCGCGCCTCATCGCCTCTGCCGCGCCCAGAGTTGAGAGTAAAAACTCAACGCCAATCGCCAAAAGTCATCTGCTTTCACGTTAGCGTTAGCGTTAACGTTTTTTATTTCACTTTAATGCTGAGTTGCCATCTGCTGTTGGTCCATCTAACACCTTTAACGAGACATGTTGTGCCGAGTTGCGTTTCCATACTCACTTCAACATTGCCTCTGAGTTTGGGAAAGGTGTCACAGGACGCATCCTTGTTGATTCACACACCAGGTTTTCCATTCCTCATACAGTATATGCCGTTGAATCGTGTTACGTCCATCGCGAAATCCTATGAAGGAACAACAATATAATAATGCATCCCCCACCCTCTTTTCTCTACCTTTTGGCCCCCCTCCCCCTTCCACTCCCTTACGTGATGTCGCCCTTCAGGAATCTGAAAGACGTGCGGCGTGGGTCACGCGACCCCAACTCTGAGCTGCGTTCGAAATCGTTCGTTCTCCCTGCCTCGCTTATCCCCCATGAGTGCGCAGGCCCGTTTGTTTTCGCGCGCTGCCGTCCCACACGCCACCTGCGAAGATGATGATGATGATGATGGTCCAGAGGATGCAGTGAGTGCGAGTGATGTGTATGTGTGTGTGTGTGTGTCGGGGTGGGGCGGCTTTGTCGCTCTAGAGCTAATTGTTGCGAGCCTCCTCGTTTCTTTTGGAGAGAGAGAGAGAGAGAGAGAGAGAGAGAGAGAGAGAGAGAGAGAGAGAGAGGAGGACAGGGATGGGGGGACACCACGCGTGCCACCGTTTGCTATCTACTTGGGGGAGTTAGGAAGAAAATTGTATAAAAAGGGGGTTTGTCGAGCGGCGGCGCAGCGCGTCCGTTGCCGCCGCGACGCTCCGCCACCCGCACGCCATCTACTCCCTCTGCGGCCTCTTCGATATTATTTGTCTGTCATTATTTTCCTAGTGACCCTTTCCGTCATCCTCCGTTCCAGGAAGGCATCGCTGCAGCAGGACAGGAGGCCAGCGCAGGCAGGAGACGCGTCCCGGGGACCAGGAGGGACCAGCAGCACGGCCATTGTTCGAGTTTCGGAGGTAAGCGCGGTGCCAAGGTGTACTGCTGCGACTGCTGCCGTCCGGCTGCGGATTCAGGGCATTACCGATAGTAAGAGTAATATTATTTTAATGTTGGGATTGTTTGAAGCGGTTTGAAGTGTATGAAAACTTAAGCAATGTCGTACCGGGTGATTCAGAGAAGACGCAGGTGCGGGCGGGTTGGCCTACCCGATCTGGCCGTAATGCGTCATAGCCCCTTGGGTAGGCCAACCCGCCCGCACCTATGAGTTTTTCCTTAATCACCCGGTACTCTTAAAATTGGGTTTTTTTAGACAGTCCCCTAAAGACTGTCTCTACCAGAGGCAAAGTCCCCCCACCCTCCTCACTCTGTATATAGCACAGAGCGGGCCCTCGAGTTTTTTAAAGGACTAAATATGTGCCCATTTTAGTATGCATCTCTGTGCACATCTGGATAGCTTGCAATAATACTGAATGACGCAAATTGTCAATTTAAGATCGCACTGTGCTGGGGCGCAGGGGACAGCTCACTTGAGCTGGACTATTCGCAAACGCGTGGCCAATCTTGTTTTTCTCTGTGTATATTTATCCATTTCTGGACAGAGTCGTCACACACGCCGCATTGTCGTCCGGCGTGGCCAGCGGGGCGTCGCCCCGTCCGCCCGTGGGAGGGGCCCCGCCGCCCCGCGCCGCCCTGCCGACGACCCGAGCACAATGTCCTGTTTCCTCCAGGAGCGCCACAAATTGCCCGCTGGCCACACGAGAGTGAGATGTGTGTGATGTGATGCCTCTGCCCTGCTCCTCCTTGGGGACTTTTACTGCCTTCTGATTAATGGCCTCCCCCAAAGACGTTTCGATCCGACCCACCCCGCCGAGTCGCCGTCCACCCCTCTGCATTGTGCAGCCGGACGCCGGGATGCAAACAGCGGGGCTGCGGGGGGACGGGCCGGAGTGTCGACGCGTAGCGCAGCGGCGAGGATGTCTCTCGCCCGGTGGTCATCTCTCTCTATTCTCCGAGCTTCTGCCGCGGGCGTCGTCTCTGTATACACATCGCCTATCGGCTCGCTAATCGACTGTTGTTGTTGAAACCACATTCAGGCGCTGCGACGTGTAAAGTAACAAACGATTCCGTGTGCGAGAAACAGAAATCTTTCTCTCACACGATTTTGGCAATATTTTCTATAAATGTCGGCACAATGGAAAGAAATTATGACGTTGAATCACTGACGATCACTGGTAAAATAAATGTCAAATGTGCAAGACCTCAACTCCGCAATGGTGCACTGACAACTGCTCAACTTCGTAGCTCTGCACTTAACTTATCTGTTGCGAACACCTCCTTAGATTGGACGCTTTACTGTGTGGGGAGTGCCAACGGAAGAATCGCCAACTTGCAAGAGCACACCGATAGTTAAAGACTTGCACGTATTCTACCTACAGTTGCTTACTTACAAACTGTTAAGCAGTTGCACACTAATTTTATCAGTGATCTCGTAGCGCTTCAACTTTCGGAAACTACTGCTGCTGGTATTACACCATCATTTGCTCGGTCTGGCAAAGCTTTGTACGTGAGTCACGGACGGCCCCTCTTGTGCGAGTGGACGGAGATGCCCGGGCCGCCGGCGCCGCGTCGCGTTGGGCGGGCCTTATTTATGTATGGCCCCCGCGCCGCACCGCCTCTGCAAAGCCAGCAGCAGCAGCAGCACGGGGGTCGCAAACTTGAAGGCTCTATAATTCAGGAGACACAGACGGGATCGTTTTGAGTTGAGCGACGGGCGACGGTGGTGCGGGCGAGGTCGGGGGAAAGGAAAAGGAGAGTATAACACTTCGCAGCCCTCTCGTCATCTTGCGGACGCCAGCAAAAATCGCAATCAGGAGGTGGTCGGCCCGGGCCAGCCGCGGTACGTCGCGAATCGGGTGAAAGGGGAAATTTCAAGGTCATTCGCTAGAAATGAACTCTCGGGATTGTGGGACTTCCTGTTGGGAAGAATCGCCCTCGGATTCCTCAGAGCCCTTGACAGTGGCACCCCGCTGCGGCCGGCGGCGCCCGCCTCCGCACCACCGCGATGGAGTCGTATGGAGGCCGGTCGCGCGACTGTGTCTGCAGAGCGCCACCGCCGGCCCTGTTTGCACGACTGTTCCGCGGCCTGCTATGATGTCCTGCGGTGCCTCTGCGGTGATCCTGTGACGATCCTGCGGTGGTGTCCTGCAGCTGATCCTGCTCCCACGTGCTAATGTAGCCTGCGGGGCGGGGCGCCCGCGCACTAACTGAGGCATTGTGTTGCCAATGGGGGGCTGGCCAGGCCAGGGCCGTAGGACCAGGGCCCCCACGCAGCACCGCGCCGCCCCCGGGGGCGGTCAGGCGGGGGGCAGGAGCGGGGGGCAGAGGAGGGATGTTAGGCCGTCAGGGACAAAGGAGGAAGGGCTGAGGGGGCGGGTAGCGGCGCCACCGCAGCCCGACTGACCGGCGCGCGGCCCCGCCAGCCCGGCCAGCCTCGCCAGCCCCGCCAGTCTTGTGCCGCTGCTGCAAAGTTTGCTGAGGTCAGAAATGCTAAGGAAGCGAGGGGCGCGGGGGCAGCGCGGGGGCAGTGCGAGGGCGGGGATCTGTCAGCGCGGGGGCAGCGCGGGGGCGGGGATCTGTGTGCGGAGCAGGGTAGCGTCCGGGCTGCCCATTGCCTTGCCGTTCTCTGCGAGAGCTCTGCACGAGGCCCGAAGCGCCAGGGCGACCAGGGGATGGGACTCGCGCCCTTCAGCCTGCTGCCCCCCCCCCCCTCACGTTATTTCTCGCTCGCACGCGTGTGTTTTTATTATTAATTCCTTCTCGTTTTTACACCGGACATGTCGATGGTGATCCGATGGTGATGATGGTGGCGGCCACGCGAGCGTTAATTATGGATAAAACTGGACAAAGAAAGGGCGGCAGAAAGTGCCCCTCACCGCGAACACGCCCTCCATCACGGCTATTGGCAGCCGAGCACGCGTGGACCGGGCTCATGAACCCATAACCCCCTTTGCCGTCATTCCGCCAACAGGTCCCGCATCTCCAGCCTATTTTTTTTTCACCCCCAACGCGCCTCGTTTTGCTGCCCCCTCGTATCTCATATTTTGACTGGCTCCATTGCATTCATCACTCGCACAAGGACGAGTGTAATTTTGGGATTTGTTTTGTTTTTCTTCTGAATTGATATGGTGTACTTTTACTGGAGAAGCAGAGGTGCTTACTAAAGTCGCACATTTGCAGGATTGTTAAAGAAAGGTTGAAATTGATCTTGTTGTGATAATTACACTCCTACTGTATCTTTCAAATGTAAAATACTGAATCTGGAGTCTCGCGCGTCGCCCTTGAGAGCGACGCTTGCATTTCCATCGCTCTATGTACTTCAGTAATGATTTTGAAACGATGATTCATTTGAAGATGTACTACGCCCAAAAAAGATAGTAAGACCTGAGAGAATTGGACAAAACGATCAATTCCGTCACTTTTTTTAGATGAGCATATCAATTTTAGCAATTCCAGTGAAATGAACACCATTTCCCCCAGTTTCTTTCTGTGTGCATCCCGCGTACCCGGTATGCACCCCCGCGCCGCGCGTGTCCCGTTGGGTGGTGAAGTCTCTGCTTATCGAGAGGATTCGGCAGCAGCTGCAGCACGCCCTGGCCTGGTCGGCG